CCATAAGAGGCAAACGCTATGAATCGGTCACCAAATTCTATAAGCGACAGATCAATGCATTTATTGGCATTCCTTACGCCAGACCTCCGCTTGGAGTCAACAGGTTTAGGGTATTGTATAATAAATTCTATAATTCAACCATGGTCATTTTAGTGGATTACAACGGGAATGTCTATTAATTCTCCAACAGATTCCTCAGCCAATGGACGCCTGGAAAGTGGAGAAGGATGTGACCAACAATCGGGTGATGTGTCCACAAGTTTATCAACGATTTTACTTCGACTCTATTCAACCCATTCGTGAGGACGAAGACTGTCTGTATTTAAATGTTTTCGTTCCCCTCTCCACTGTAAGTCACATATCTTGATACAAGTTTCAATATTTTACCCTGAATATTCTTTTTGTGCATTCTAAATAATATTAATTATTTAATATTTAAGGAAAATTGTATTTTTTGTTTTTAAATATTTTGTTAATTAAACTATTTAATTGTTAAACAGAGACCTGTGAATGGTTTTCCAGTTATGGTGTATATACACGGCGGACAGTTTCAATTCAGTGGCAAAGATTTTTACCCGCCTCACTATTTGCTCGATAATGACATCATTTTAGTTACAATAAACTATCGCTTAGGAGTTTTGGGTCCGTTATTTCAATTTTCATGAATATTGTCTAAATTTTCAACTATTTAAAACTATCCTGATTATATATTTAGGATTTTTAAGTACTGGCGACGACTCCAGTGCCGGAAATTTTGGAATTCACGACCAAATCGAAGCACTCAAATGGGTTTCAATTAATATTCAAGGGTTTGGAGGGAATGCACAGAATATTACAATCTTTGGTCACGATTCCGGTGCTATTTCTGCCTCTATATTACTGGTGTCACCAAAATCTTGGGGCCTTTTTCACAATACAATGATAATGAGTGGATCCATATTCACACCAAATGCTGTAAAGTTACCCGATGTTAAAATGGCTCTAGATTTTGGAGAAGTCGTAAATTGTAACTTAAAATATTCACTAATTGATCAAAACGTCCAGAATTTGTCTCAAAAACTAGTAAATTGTTTGCGAACCAAATCAGTGGATGAGTTAATGGTTGCCAACCGACTGCCGGGACTCTATCCAAATGACTTCCAGTTTAATTTCGGTCCAGTGATTGACAGCAATGTCTCGATGCCTTTAATTGGTGATCAACCCATCAATATATTCAGAGCCGGCAACTACTGGAAGACACCACTAGTGGGTGGGCTCACAATGGCTGAGGGATCACTTGATTACTACACTCATTACGATAGGATTAAGGATTGGTCAGCGATTGAGAAAATAGACTATTTGTTCAATCGATTCAATTATAAACCGTTTTTCTTAAAATTATTGACAAA